ACAAAGCTCATCGGTCTGAAAAGCGAGGTGTGCTCTGATTGGCCAGCTATCCAGTGCATTGTGATTGGCTGAATACCTCAAGCGTGTGACGGAAATGTTACGTCCCTTACCATATTGTGATGCCCTGTCCAACCAGAGCGATGAGACAAAAACATTAAAACCCATTATAAACGAGGCATTTGTTGCATCCAGTGGGCATCCAGCGGGCTTGCGGCAACCACATGTGACGACCCCGGGTTGGACTCCGCTTCGTCCACGGTGAAAGCCGATCCGGCGATCCACAGAGCGAAGTTGATGTATTTCGTCAGCGACCAGCACGGATCAGCTCTAGGCATGACGAAGCGGATATCGTCCTCTTTTGGAAGGCCAAACAAAGTAGTTTCGCTTTCACAACGAAACACAGCATCTTCACGACATGGCAGCAACAATACTACAGCGAGAATAAAAGTTACGCCTTCTTTCTTTGGGTGAACATTTGGGCGGCGTTATGCAAATCTTCCCACATTGTGACGTAGACATGTTGGGGGCATGTTAGAACGAGACGTTTTAGGTAGGCGTGGTTGACTCTTAACTTTTATAAAGAATATCTCTTTGGATTTGAGACTTTAGTCTTTGCAACTTTACAGATCTTCTTTATGCACCAAGAGTTTGTAACACTCCAAAGAGAAAGGAAAAATTTTAATCGCATCATATGACCCCTTTAATAATGGCAGTGTATGGGGTTTAAGATTTTGAAGCCCAGAAAAACTGCATCCATACATCATAAAAAATTGCTCCACATGGCTACGGGGAGTTAATAGAGGCCTTCTGAAGTGAACCAATGCATTTGTGTAAAATAAACATCCTTATTTAAAACTTTATAAACTCTCTGGCTTCCACTAACTGTCGTACAGGCATTCACAAGAGTGGCACTCCAGTGGATGACAGGTGTAGCGTAATTCCACGTTCCAGACAAGGTCGGAAGTAGGAACATCCGAGTTGAAATATCCCACTTCCAACCTCAGTGAGTTCCAGTCATTATCATATCACTTTTATAAAATGTCGCTATGACACAACGAGAGCATTTCCTGTTTTTGTGTCAATTATGGCAAAAACAGAAAAAAAAATGAACATAAAATGCTGCTGTTCATTTTGAAAACAGCTGATGAAAAGCAAAACTTAAGGTATAATTTTATTAAGTTAACGTATAATGTTTGACACAAGGTAGCTCCACATTATGCTTGTTGAAAGCAGTGATGTCAAATGACGCATCTCACTGAAGTCGGGTTTGATCGATCCTCCCCGAGTTCACAGGTCATATGTCCGACTTCAAGTGGCCTTTTTTTAGATGTTATATGCAAGTAGGAGGTGGAAAAAAATCAGAATTTAGAGTTGTCTGGAACGCAGCATAAGCTCCGGTGAGACTATGATAGCCTCATGAGAACGAAGTTTTGCTTAAAGCAAAGGAAAATCAGTCTACTCTTGGCTTATATCAAAATCATTTTTTAATAAAACTCAGATTGTATTTGTCTGAAAGAAGAAAGTCATATACACCTAGGATGGCTTGAGTAAATCATAGGGTAATTGGGTGAACTATCCCTTTAAATAATGAAGAAAACAGGTAATGGTGAATATACTGTATGTAATATAGTGCACTGTGCATCTAATTAGCAAAATGCTCCTAACTAAAGATTGTTTTTCCAATTTACTAGTTTTATTAGTATTAATTTACTAGTTGTTGACACTGAATGGCTTTCCTGGGGTAAATGTAACATTACATTATTTACAAGCTATTTTATTGATAGCTTTCCACAGTTGAAACACTGATTAATTATACGTATATTTTAGTAAATGGTTCTTTCAACTGATACCTTCTGATTTTCATTCATGTTTATTTTGTGCTATAACTAGTAGCAAAGAGGAAGAGATGATTGGTTCACGTGCACTTTGGACAAGTGTTGCCAAAAAGAAAGAAAGAAAGAAAAATCAACATTTATTGTTTGAATTTCATCTATGAAACTGACAGAATTCGAAAGCACACGATTTGTTTCATATCAAAGTTAACAAAGTACAATGCATATTACAATTACTGGATGGTAAGCACACTAAAACAAATTTATAGTTACAGTTTGTTCATACATCACCTGATAACTGCAGCGACTAAAATACCTCAGTTAATCCAAATGAAGAAGGATCAAAACCAAGAATAATAAAACAAAAAAAATTAAAAGCTCAAATTTTTGCTGAATATTTCTGGTTGATGAAATTTCTGTGCTTCGCTACTTTTAAAATGTTTTAGAACAAGGACTGTCATTCAAATTGAAGTGGTCCGCCCATGACAATAGTCCTATTTACAACTAGAATAAAAAGTGCAATCCAAATCAACCTTTAGTTTCTGTTCAAAGAACACTGAATATTGAGTAATGTATTCCAATTACTACACACTGTATAAACGTAAATACAATTCCCCTTGGAATTGCTCCACAACTCACAATTACCTAATTATACTGATAACAAATATATAGTCTGACACATCCCACAGGGTTTTACCAAGAATACAGACAGGGCAATCACTATTTGGCCTAAATAAACTCCAGCCTACATGTTCATATAGTTGAGTGGTTGATGCAAATATAAGTGTGGTTTGTGTAGTAAAGACCATGCATGCATTTGTGTATATTGCTTTTTTGTCCACATTAACCTATGTTTGTACTAAATCAGACAGGTAGGATAAAGCAGAGTCAGAACCACTACTTGAAGCAGAAAATGCCAATGAAGATCACTATGTTTAAAATGTTAGGGGGGGGGGGGGGGGTTTT